CCCCGAGTGTAGGAAATGTGTGTGTTCGGCTTATGAATGAAACTTCGTTCGTACTGTCAAGCGGACCCCGTTTGCTTTTACGTATATCACTCGTGGGGAGAAAACGCGTCAGGGAGTTTATCCACAGTTGCACAACGCATTCAATTCCGTACTATGGTCCACACTTACAAATCTCTCAACTCCTCTGCCCCTGATTACCTCTCTTCTCTTCTATCAATTCGAACCGGGTCTCACTCCCTTCGCTCTTCTCATGGGAAATTTCTTGTTGTCCAGAAAACAAATAAACTCGCAGGTGATCGGGCCTTCTCTATTGCTGCTCCCCGATTGTGGAATAGTCTACCCATCCCTATCAGAAACTCCGATACTGTGCCAACCTTCAAGAAGGCTCTCAAAACCCATTTTTTTCCACATCATAGCTGGTCGTACGCCCTTGTTGTTTTTCTGTTGTTCTTTCTGTGGTTCTTCTTTCTTTGTTTCAGCGCCTTGTATCCTTTGGCAATTTGGCGCTCTATAAATCCAGTTATTATTATTATTATTTTACAAAATCGTTTACATTTCTGTCAGATTTAACAGGGACAGTAACAAGTTGATCCCAAATTTATAGAACGACCCCTTTATCCACAACACTCCAATGACATGACTACTCATCTTCATGACACTCGTATCTGTGTAGAAGCTTTTTTTGACTAATATTCCTTCTGGCAGCCCAATAAACCCAAGAGAGCGAGGGATAATTCGATCTGTGTCAATCAATAACCATATCCTTCTCCACCCCTTGCACCTCTTGTCAAACAGGACACGTCTTGTGGTCTTATTAAAACAATGGTTGCTGCGCGTAAATCGATAGTGGGCCACGTGACATGGGGTTTTTGTTTCCTGAATGACCGTCGATGATGTTTGTTCACTGCCTCGTGGAAGTGGAACGAAGGCAGCGCCTGTGACCTGCAGCCAGGAATAATAAAGTTGAAAGGATGCTGCGCATACAAATTGTGATCTATTCGATTTTGCTGCATGCACGGTTTTCTTAATGCATCTATCTATATGATCCAGCCATTTTAAGTCTAGTTCCCTTGAAGCGTAGCATTGCATTGCACCATGTTGGAAGTTAGAATAATACCACCAGACTAAACTTTCCCATTAAGCTTTGCCATGGTCTGATAGATATGAACGGAAACAAACTTCATTTAATACTTCAGAGTGCACATAATTGTAGTCGACAGAGATGACAAAGTCCTCAACTGAGCACTACATTCTGTTTTATACAACACCTGAATAAATCCCCGTCATCTGATTGGTGGATCATTGATCACATGTTATTGAATTATTCGTTCCAACGCGCGGCGCGCGGCGCACACTGAAATGGAAGTTCCATTGCACGGTGAATAGAACTTCCATTGCACGGCGTCATCGCTGCTGGCGTTGGCGCTGTTTTAAATCGAGATTACTTGAATATGATGGTTCTCAACCTGTTAAACAGTTTAAATATAATAAACTTCCTTGTCAAACTTTAAAACAGTTTTTAACCTGAATAAATTGGCTATTAAAAGTCAACCAATCAGATGACAAGGATTTATTCAGGTGTTATATAAAACAAACAATGACTGTTTTACGTTCGTGCAATGGAAAGAATCATTTCATTCGGTGACAGCTTCGCCTCGTGGAATGGAACACTTCATCTGTCACCTCATGAAATTATTCTTACCATTGCACTCACAAACATTCATTATTTGTATACCATTCATTTTTTCCTCTTTGGCCTTACTATTGTATCATGTCTCTTGTTTAGCACAGTGATGTCCAGGACCCTTGTATATAGAAATCTGTACTGGTTATATTCTGAAATAAGAATACAGTTACAAAACAAAAGAAACTGAATAAATTGAGTGTCCTGTACTCTCGACAATCATCATATAAACATTGCTTGACATTTAAAGATGTCGTTCTAGTATAGCCACTTGAGTTGTTTCTTGTAAGATCTCTAGTCGAGCCAGATGTTCCTTTCTATCAAACCACTCCCTTCCCTTAAAGCTAACGTTCCAGTTCACTCCATTCATTGAAATTGATTTCACACCTCCGTCGCGGTCCACACTGTTGTTGTCTGCGCCCAGGTCCATTACGATCGATGTATAATTAAATAACTGTGGGAGAAAGGAAAAGACGCTATTAGACAACTTGCGGGTTATACACTGGGATAGAGCGCGCGATAGGCCGGCGATCTATTTTCCTTTGATCTATACCGACTAACACGGGTAATAACCTGACAAATTTACACGGAATATGAAATACGTACGGTGAATGAAATAAACACTGAATATACGATGTCTGGTGCAACATACTGTTTATAGTATCGGCAGGTGTTTTCTCATCGAGGCGTAGCTTTATATTTCTCATAATGGCTCTTTAATCCTGGAATTGGCACTGTTTTGAATAATTCAAATCGATCTTTTTGGCTGCTAACAAAAGCTAGTTACCAAGGAGGTTAACTCAGCCAATAAAATGTTAATTACCAAATAAATAGGCCCATATTCATCAAATTTGATTAATAAATGCACACATTTCTAGATCTATGTGACCTGAGGAACAATTTATTAAAAATTATTTTCGAAGGGGCTCTGCATTTATCTGAATTAGCATTTTTTGCCCTTTCTACATGTTCGGTTTGAAGAAAACGACAAAATGCAATAGATACATACCGGTACAAGTTCTAGACCATTTTTAACATACTCACTGGTCCTTCTTCTATTATACAGGATTCATAAATACCTCAGACAGTTTAGCTATTCCTATTGGTCGAGAGCCCGTCACGTGGCCGGTCTTAAACGGATAATAGACCGCTTGCAGACGCGATCGATAATTGACGCGCGAAGGTGCACGACGCCATGTTATGGGACAAAATGTGCATGGATAGATATACGCCTGTCCCACAACATGGCGTCGCGCGCCTTCGCGCGTCGATTATCGAACGCATCTGCAAGCGGTCTATAAAGACATGGCTAGCTGGTCTTAAATACTTTTCCATTGTCACCAAAAAATGTGGACTCCTAAAAATCCAGTGCCTCTTACCGCTTTATTGGTTGAACGTTAACAATCCTCACGTAGGCATGCGCAACACTACCAGCGAGTCAGAATTTTATAGTTCTAATTTCAAAATGCAACGCCCCAGGTGCGTTCTGCGCGACATCGCGCAGTACTTGCTACGCGCGCGTCAATCTCCATAAAAGGGTTGTTTACATCTTACTCGCCAGCTGAACACTGCATTATTTTGCTAGAGGGATGTTTCAAAAAGCATGAAGTGAACTTGTTGAACAAAATCGGGTTTTTTGAACGAATTATTTGATTTTTTTTTTACCAAAAAGGTATTTATGAATGGGAATAAATATGTGCTCGGTCGGTATTTATCACTCTGTTTATGACCGCTTAGAGTCTGGGTGCTGATAATTACCCTCGCCTCCGGCTGGGGTAATTATCAGCACCCAGACTCTAAGCGGTCTTAAACAGAGTGATAAAAACCTCCGGAGCACACATTTATTCCCTAATAAAGAGTTTGCTATTTTCCATTCAAGTTGAATTGCTGGATATCTCTACCACAGAATCTTCTCCCGATTGCATCTTTCTGTTGATAATGTTAAAAAATATACTTCTAATATGAGGAAGGCTTTTTGGCCGGGTGGTATAGAGCATGCAGTGGGGTATGCAGCGATGGTGGGTGAAATTCGGGATTTAACGTCCCTCACCCACCCACCCACCTACTCAAAAAGGAAGAAGAAAAGAAGACAGAAAAAAAGGAAAAGTGTCAAAAGTCAATATTGTACTGTGACTTTCACGTAATTCAATTGTAGATACTGCCGAAAAGGGACCAAAACGCAGTTATTATGTATATGCACGATTTTTTTTTTCAGAATTCCCCACAAGAATGATTACAGTAAAAAGTGTTAGTAACACCTGCTTGCTCGGTTCTTCCGAGGAAGTGATTCGTCTGATGAGATGCCAGCCCGGTCAGGCAAGCCGCTGCAGCGACCGTGGATGCTGGAGTCGTTCGCCGGGCATTCCACTTACACCTTCCCCCCACGGCGGATTAATTACGTCTAGGCTCTTCATCGCCGCACCAAAAAGTCACCTCGTGCCGGAAGGAAAGTCGGTTGCAGTCACGACACATCATTAGTGCAAATGGGAGCTCATGCCCTACGGGGATCATTGTGAAATATTTTTATGAGGTGTTCCATAAGGCACTTCCGGGGGGACCGTACTTTTAATGTGCCTTTTATTATTAGGAAAGTAGCCTTAGTCGCACATGTTCTTCCGTGTATGTGTTAACAGTAATTCACTTCAAAGCATGCAGGAGCAATATAAAACGATAAATGAAAATAATGACAGAGAAATTTGATCAGAAACAAATAATTTGATATTGCTTGTTAACTAACTAACTAACTAACTAACTAACTAACTAACTAACTAACTAACTAACTAACTAACTAACTAACTAACTAACTAACTAACTAACTAACCAACTAACTAACTAACTACTTAACTAACTAACGGACGGAGATCCCTGATGATTTGGTGCGCTGCTACTCGCAGCTGAAAAGTTACATTGATTGTTATACTTGCAGTTTTTAGTCTGACAATTTGTAAATGTTATTCGAGACAAGCTGAACTCGACACTGCATTCGATTTTTTTTATTTGCAACAAAATTGTGTAAACTACACCTTTAAAGAAAATTACACTGATATATAATAAATATAGCTGGCAGAGCGAATCTAACGATAATTGCATGAAGTGTATGTTTCTCCACATGATTGGTAGCGCAGGCACTTCTACCGGTCGGTTTCTTTGCATTGTGCGATCGCATAGCACTATTCTCCATTATTGTGGCTTTGTAAAACAAGTAGAGGCTTCATCAGAATGCGGACATGCGCAGTGAGATTTTGCACGCGGCGTATAGATAGCGTCTGTTGATGATAGTGGATCGCATCATCACATCATTGTGATGAGGCAGCGCGATCGGTGATGTGTGAAATAAACATACGGCTGGCGTGTCTAATTCGAGCAGTACTTTTGTGTGTTGTATATTAGTTGATGAGCAGGCGTCACGGTGTTGGCCATGCGTATGGAGGTTTGTTAGCTTATAGCCGGTCGGACAGAAATCGTGACTGAATCGAGCCAGCTTCACTCCAAGTGATTTTTGTGCCTGATTGGTCGAGGTTGTTGTATCAACTGGACCATTATAGTTAAATTTCAAAGGTTACTATAGCGTTGTAAACTCCCGGGAAAGTTCCGGGAATCCATTGTGAGATTAATCCTTTCAACTGGCATCAACACTGCTTAATAGTTCAGGTAAGTGTAACTCCATGTATGTATTTTTGTCTGTAATATTATTGCTTCAGTTACAGTTTACGGCGTATATCAGGAGTGCATTATTTATGCGACACATTCACTTTGTTGTCTACTCTTGCGTGTATCGATAAGGTAAAAGGGCGTGTGCTATCAGTATCAGAATCCAAAACGCTGTTGTAAAGGTTGACTAGCGTTGACGAAGCGTGTTGTTACACTAAAACTAGAAACAAAGACTGTTAAGTTAGGTCTTATTTTGCTAAATAATTGGGTTCGTAATCATTATGGCTGTAATTACAGTGTTAAAAATAGCGTGGAAAGTCTAGCTGCAGGCACAGAGATGGTGCAAAGAAATATTCAATGAGAAACTACATTCTCAGTGAATGTATGGCTTTTATTCATTAGAAAGAATTCAAATTAGGTTTTGCCCTTTCCTTGGCGTATAAACACTGTATACTCAGTGTGCCCCCCCCCCCCCCCAGTGAAAGTTGGAAATAATCACTCGGGTGGGACTCGAACCCACAACCTCCTGCTTTCGACCACCGAGCTAACGGGATCGGTTGGCTGGTTTTGAATCAGATGTACATAGCAGCAGGTACCGCATTAAATATTCATAAGATGGAATTTTTGCGTCAGGGTGATGTAAATCAAATTAGCTTTCGCCCTTCATCGACGTATAATCACTGTATACTCAGTGTGTTACCTCCCGAGTGAAAGTTGGAAAAAATCCATCTTTTGAATAGTAATGTGGTACCCGTTGCTGTGTACATCTGATTCGACCCAGCCAACCGATCCCGTTATCTTGGTGGTCGAGTGGTAAGACATCTGCACTAGAAAGCAGGAGGTCGTGGGTTCGAGTCCCACAGGAGTGTTTTTCCCCAAAATTCACTGGGGCGGTGAGACACTGAGTATACAGTGTTTATACGTCGGGGAAGGGCAAAACCTGATTTGATTTACATCACCCCGACGCAAAAATTCCATCTTATGATTAGAAAAAAATATTGTTTATTGATACGGGAGATACATCTGCATTGTCGCTGTGGTGGACATACAATGATTATTTGGGGAACTTATTCCATGTTTTGCAACAAGTGTCCAAATGCGATCATTACCGTGTTATCAATATCCGTATCTTCAAATTCGTATCTTTAAAGTTCGATATTTTGCAGTTGTACCGTGTGACTGCTAATCTAGTATCCAAATGCGATCATTACCGTGTGATCAAATCGTTTCGTCAAATTTGGTCAAGGCTTGTCCTCTTATCAAAAGATGTTCGCGATTGTCTCCAATTGGACTGTCCTTTCCTCAATGGCGGCTCAAAACCCCTGGCCAGGAAAGCCATATCCAATCTATATGAGGCCGTATATTATCCACCTTTTGACGTGGCCGTAGATATCAGGCCTAACGCAAATATGCCGATGATTACCTCTCTGTTAACTGGCTAATTAAATTGCACGCAGTATGCAATGTAACCTTGACTTTGTTGTGGGGGTGTTCCTAATGAGATCTCACCATAGATGAAACCACTTATACCTGGTTACTGCGACAATGTGACTGGGTGAAGGTCACTGCTACGAATAAGGCCTTGCATAAGCATATCTAATTATTACAGATCATTATGATGTGAGTAAAACTGTTTTATATAGCACTCGGATGGTACATTTATAATTGTATCACTGTTTTTGTATGGCGTGCAAATTTAACATTTAATCACGAAAATTTTTTATTTTCTACCAGACATATCTCTATTTTTGCTAGATAGAACTCTATTTCTACTAGACATATCTCTATTTCAACTATTAACTATTAGAAAAAGAGATATATCGAAAAACAATTAGATTTATGTAAATTTCTAACACATATCTCATTCTTTCCATTCTCGCACGCTGTGTCAACTGTGAGGTCATTATTGCCTGACATAGTGCATTTAATTTCTAGCGAGCCAAAGGGTCAACTATAAGAAGGAAACGGCGCGATTTTAGCCTCAACGATTCTATTATTTTTATACCGCAACAATCATTGAAATGGAGATATTCCTAGTTTGGGATAAAATGGTACATTGGCACATCTAATAATAGAGACATCTCTATTTATCTCCATTTTAATTGAGAAAATCTCTATTCCGAAGTGAATGTTAACAGTGCTTCAAGCAACGACTACAATCCATCCCCATTGAGTCACACTTATAAATGACTGTAACATCATCAATCGTTTGTCACTGTTCATTACCTAGTTATTTGAAACTGCACCTGTGTAAAGACTTGTGATTTACATGTGGACGTACTTCGAGGGACTTATAATGAACTCAACTGCACCAATTATAAGCTGTCTCGTCATTTTTATACGCGAGATTGCACATCGTCTTAGTTTGCCCACGTTGCATAGTGTGCCCTCATTGGTGACCTAATTAACCACACGAAAAGTTATAAAATCGGCAACATAATTATTCTGTGCTGCATAAACGTGCGTACGCATTATTTTTTGCACGCATAATTTTTTTCTGGTGCATATAGTATGACGCGAGAAGGTAACGTGTACTGTTATGTGCTTTCAATTCCACTGTCATTTTCCTAGTACCTTTTTTATCCACGAGGATTTAGTAATATTTCAAGGGTCTACCATTAACATTCACCTGTGATTTTTACCATTTCGCTGGATTCTAACTTCAGCTCGATATTGCTGTTTAATAATGAAATAATGTCAAAGAGAGTGATGGATGAAATGTCGTCGCTACTTTTGCAATGATCCACCAAACGCCTCATCGTCACCTGTACCAATATTACAAAAAATGTGTCTCGCATGAGTATATGAGTGTCAATGCAACCCACAACTGTGACCTACAACTATACCTCTTCAGGCTTATCGAGAACCCATCAGATATTTAGGATCTCTGATGGCACCAATAGTACAAGCGATTTATGGCGAAAGGCTCTTGCTTGGTCAGCTTTTAAGCGACTGCGTGGAGGAGCCCACAATGCACATCACAACAAAATTCAACAATCTTACTGTATTTTTATGAATCCTGGGTCACCACACAGAGATGGAAAATAACGCTCAATATCAAATAATGTTCAATATCAAACGCATGGACCGTGTTACAAATGTATGCATCCACAACATCACCCAAACCACACATCGTTGATCAACAAGGTCAGATCTCACCTACTAAGATTTTTTGGTCACAAGTTCCTGTTGGTTTCAAATTTCCTGTTGACAGGAATTGCCAATTATAAATATCTGGTTTCTGCAACTGGTTTCTTCAACTGGTTTCAACTGGTCCCTGTTGACGAGTAAATACCAGTTGGTTGCTAATTCTTTCTACTGGTTTCAACTGGTTCCTGTTGACACCACAAGAACTGCCATGGCGTTGATAACTGGGTTCTGCAACTGGTTTCTTCAACTGGTTCCTGTTGTTGACACAACAAGAATTCCCAGTTGGTACTCCCTGCGGATGTCAGATTAAGAGCCTGTAAGAAGATATTCTGTCTACATTCCATCGCACGGCAGAAAAAAGGCTAGGGCGACCGACAAAAACTTGGGGAAGAGGACAATTAATGTGCTGCTACCAAGGCAACTTGTCAACGTTTCAAGTGACCATAGGTGTTGGAAGAAATGTGTGGTCGTCTGCGTCAAGCGAACGATGATGACTACGAAATCTTGCCTTAGATAATGGTCACCAGATTTTCCAATCGTAAATCGGCATTTCAAAACTGCAGCAAGCAATAACAGCATTTTTTGGGAGCAAAAGAACATTAGAATAGTACCCAAATACTTGTGAATACTTCTGGTAACATCTACCATCAGACAATGCTATGCGTGTAACATCATTGTAATATTTGACACATTCTGTGTTCACGAAATGAATGTTGTTATCGTCATTTGTCTCACACTGTGACTGAATGTTTATTTCACTCCAAGAAACAGTGTTTAGTTCTTACATTCCATGAAACAAAATCGACTGCGCGTGCGATGTTTGGCACAGGAGCATGACCGATCGAGAGTGCAAAGACACCATTATCGATAGTACCTCATGAACATCAACAGCTAGACTTCCAAGTCGCAAAGGTAGGACTTGAAACACGAAACATCCTCCAAACATTCTGCAAATACTTCCTTCTAATATCCGAAGCGAAATTCGCTCAATTCGAATAAAAAATCACTCCATCCGACTAAAAGTATATTGGGGCAAGGAGATCAATTTTTAGAGTGAGGTTTATTCGATCAAATAGATCAAGTTTTCACTCAAGTTTCTACTGATGGACTGATTCTCTTTCAAAGTTTATTTCAATCTCAAGTAAGTGTTGATTTCAAGCTAAATCATCTAGTCCCTGTATACTTCCGTACTGAGAGAGAGAGAGTATAATCCTTTGGAATTGTTACGATGTCATTTCACAGTTCTATTTCCCTATTGAATTGATTTTATTTCACGTTATTTTGTTTAGGCGCTACACCATAGCGCTATACGCCAGCTCATGTTCCACGCGGAGTAACATCAAACGCTATCGCATTATTGTCAACATTCGCCTCCTTCAATCACATTCAGTGCAATAGACATACAGGTCATTAAGTTTGTAATGTTCAACCATTATTGTGGAATTGATTCCATGCTATATGTGTCCGTCGACCATGTATATGTTTTCAATCACTATGGAGAAAAGATAGCCGCATGTATTTATAGAGTCACTATATAAACAGCAGTCTGATACGATAACCGGGTGTATAGTACTTCATTACTGTAGCTATTTTTGATGCTCATGGTATCGATGTTACATTGTATATCCTTTCCATACGCCGTCAATTAGGCAACGTCTTTGTTATTTTTGAGGAGTATTCCACATGGTATTCACTGGCCTTACTCCAAGCAGTTCAGTATCCAGAGATTTGAAGATGTGCACGGTGAGGATATCAATATGTGTTACGGTCGACACCAAGTGACAATCTCTTTTGTGAGTTTGTGATATTCTGAAAACGACATGGGAACTCAGTTTCCCCGGTCCTTTGGT